CTCCAAACCAATCCTCAAGATGGCAAGGATGGGCCATAGAGGAGGACCCACGTTTCAATCGAGAATCGGCACCTACACCAGACTCTCCACTACCACCAGTAGATGAACACAATACGGAGGAAGTACCACGCAGATCTCGCCGTCAAGCAGGAGCTGCTCCAGAATTTACACCTCGTACTCTTGAAAATAAACTTGCCCTCTCAGCCAACACCGACCTATCCTCCATCATGTACTCAGCATACTCAGCAATACTCGCACCACAATCATTCAATGAAGCGCAGACCTCACAGGATTGGACCCAGTGGAAAGAGGCAATCAATGAGGAGCTTGCAAAGATGGAAAAGTACAAAGTTTGGGTGGTAGTTGACCGCAAGGAAGTCACTGGGAGAACACTCAAAGCTCGTTGGGTTTTCACGCGGAAAATCGATGGAACTACCGGACAACCTGCAGGTTATAAAGCAAGATGGGTTGCTAAGGGCTTCTCCCAGCTATCTGGTATCGACTACCATGAACTGTACGCAGGCGTTGCACACAAAGACTCAATTCAACTTTTCTTCGCAATCATAAACTACCAGGACTTTCACTGTGATACTGTCGATATTGTTGCTGCGTTTCTCAATGGAGATCTTGAAGAAACGATTTACCTTGAACCCCCAGAAGGTAGCAATATTCCCTCCGGAAGCGTCATACGTCTTGTCAAGTCCTTATATGGTCTAAAACAATCTCCTCGCTGTTTCAATAAGAAGCTTGATCAGTGGCTACGTTCACAGGGTTTTATGCCAACCACGGCCGATAATTGTATCTACTCCCGCTCAAGAAATGGTAGTTCTATCCTCATTGCACTACATGTCGATGATCAGTTGGTAGCTAGTAACTCCCGAATTGAACTCGATGAATTCAAGACGCAACTCCATGCTGCTTTTGAAATCAAGGACAATGGTCCTGCCAGCTACTTTCTTGGTGTCAATATATACAGGAATCGGAAGCTGAAAACACTGCAGCTGTCACAAGAACACTACCTCAAGGCAATTCTGGAAAGATTTGGAATGACAAATAGCAAACCTGCCCAATCTCCACTGCCATCTAACTACCGACGTACTGAAACTACCAATGTCGAGTTTGAGGAAGTCAAGCATGAACCTTTTCCAGCTATGGTAGGATCCCTGCTCTATGCAGCTACAATTACCCGACCGGATATTGCATTTGCTACCGCTCTCCTAGCTCGATCTGCAAGCAAATGGTCAAGGCAGGACATTAATGCGGCTCGACATCTTATGCGTTATCTTGTTGGAACTACCAACCTGTGTCTCACTTACAACGCCTCACTACCAAATGCAAAGTCTTCCATAGAAGGGTACGCCGATGCAGATTGGGGCGGCTGTTTAGATACCCGACGATCTACAACAGGTTTTCTGTTCTATGGGTTTGGCGGTCCAATAAGCTGGAGATCCAAAAGACAACACACTACCGCATTATCAACTACCGAAGCAGAATACATGGCTTCATCAGATGCTGCTCGTCAGGCCATTTGGCTCCAACATCTGGCAAGTAATCTTGGTTATCCCCATCCAAAAGGTATCTCCATTGTAAACGACAATCAAGCCGCTATATCTCTCTCAAAGAATCCTGTTCAACATGATCGATCTAAACACATTGACATACGCTACCACTTTGTCCGAGAAAAGATAGAGAATGGTGATATCACTCTCTCTTATATCCCCACTGAAAACAACCTTGCAGACATCTTGACTAAAGCACTACCAGCAGAGCGTCATGAAGAACTGGCGACACTCATGGGTATACGGGAAAAAGGACAAATAGGAAGTATGTGACGAGGGGGAGTGTTGAAATACACGTCATCGTGATAAGCGACTCATACTACCAAATTGTTTCCTGCCTGGTAGTTCTTCATTGCTTTCTACAGAGCTGAGAACTACCAGGTGAGTGATTAGTATCATGCATTGCTTTCTACAGAGCTGAGAACTACCAGATACATTTACCTGTAACTACCGCTCTAGCAATCACTACCGACATCCGGCTGGGTCCTTGACAGGCTCAGTACTCGAGATCTGCCTAGCAGTCTTCAGCCTCTCTATAAGGCGTATCCTGACACGTAACCATAGGGGTTCAGTGCCATATAAATACTGTACATACATCGGAGACCTCTTTGTGCCAATTGGCACTGTCAATGAAACTGAGAGCAGACAAGAATTACATGCAGACTGATATAAGAGAAAGAAGTGTGTGCTTTTCTGTTGATGAACAGTGGCTGTCAAATACCCTAGAAGGAATGAATCCATCAGTTCAGTTATTTGAAAATATGTTGTAGGTTAATGTGTGGCATGTAATATAGAAAGAGAGTTGTGTATTGTAAAGGGGAGCAAACGGAAGTGGTAGGCGAGTGGTAAGTGCCCGTGGGAATCATGTGCAGAGTTGAAGGGGGATGCCAGGACCAGATAGCCTGAGTCAATGAGCTGTGGGCTGTATGGGCTCGTGGGGAACATATCTAGTGACGTACTACATGATTTGCTGAAAGACAAGAAAATACATTTGACATGACACCTACTGAAAAAGGGCTGCTTCTGCATACTTAGTAGAGCCTGAGTGGAGTGGTACCAGACTCCAAGGAGTAAAGACGGAGAGTGACATGGGTGGAGAAAGTGGAAATCTTATGATACTTTTAATGCTTAAAGACATGAACAAATAAACGAGGAGAAGAACTTCAAAGCACGTAGCTTATTCAGTCCCTCCAACAGAACCTACTCGGAGAAGTGAATTTTGATATTGGTATTAGTCACTCCTGTAGAAGTCCCGGAGCAGCTTAGTGACAAAAAGTCCTCTCAGCATGGGAAGGAGAAGGAAATGTTGAAGTGGACAGAGAACAAGCCAAACACGTCCTTTTTGTGTATCAGTAATGAGGATGAATGCTGAACAACATTCAGATAGAGTTGAAAACAAAGTCCCTAACAAATACAATTTAGACATATGCCAGGGCGACGCACGGATTTCACTTTGCATGTTTTTATTGTGCCTCTAACCTGGAGAAACGGTAGCTGGCCTAACATAGCCATATCCTCGGCGTTTACTGAACTAGTCACACCCCCGATCCTTTAGAGGCGGAAAGTTTGAATATGTAAAGGGCAGATCTCGGGGCCGGATCTTCGACCGAGGCGGTGTACGGGGCCGGCCAAGGACGGATGAAAATGGGCGGACAAGCACCGCCGTGGCACAGGAGTTTTCTCCGTGCACCGCGTTCAAACCTCCGAACCAAGGAAGAGAGGCAGTGCAGTGGATTGAAACCCCTCTCCCATGGTCATGACATAAATAGACCACCTTCAGGGTAGAAACTAACATCCTATCCAGATTCATCCCGACCAGAACTTGAGCGGCTATGTCGACCACTCTCTCTTCTGCCATCTGGGATGATGTACATCACAAGTTAGGGGATATTGTTGCTTCTTCCCTCAGGCTCAGAGACCAGCTATTCTACCGTTATGAGCCCCTCCGAGATGACCCTGTAAGCAAGATCGAATCAGATGCAACGTCAGAAATTACTTTGGTGGGTTCAACGACTCCTCCTGCACCCTCAATCCGCACGGAACCTACTTCAGGTGAAGCTAATCAATATCCTCCCGGTAGCAGCAACGTGTCTCAGAGTGAGGAATGGCCACCCTATGACAGTGGTCTTGATCCTATAAGATGCCTGAAATTCCTTGGAGGCATGCTTGTTGTCTCTGCTGTCATAGGAGTTCCCTCGTATTTCATTCAGCGTCATATCAACTACGCAAATGATCACAAGCTCAAAAGTTGGCTTTGCGAAGTTGGACCGACTGAGCAGATGACAGAGCTGATCATGTCTGTTCAGAATGGTACTACCCCAGCAAACTCCACCTTCGAGGTTGACATGAGCTGTTACACCCCCATGTGGGTGCTCACAGGGGACGGGTTCAAAGCCGATGGTAAGAGCCGCTGGCCTTTCCCACATTCGAAAAAGAATGCAAACGAGCTACCCTTGAACTCACTGATCTTCATGTGGGATGGCTCAACTTCGAGGCTGCAGGACTTAGGACTGCGCCAGATCCATGGAAGAGAAGCTCTCCAAGGGAAGACCGAGATTCTTCTTCCCCTCGGCTTGACAGGCTACGACGAAACTCGTACCCCATGGAAAGAAGGAAAAGAAAGTCGTCTGGTAGATTAATTGGGACTATGTGGTACATTGGAAGTAATCGCACGGAAACTGGGTCCCTTTAAGTACCTCCCCTGTGCCAAAATGACATGATGACCGTATGGAATGCAGTTTATGACGAGAGAGGCTACGAGTTTAAACCCCTAGAGGATACTGAATGTTGGCTATTTTCATGTTAGGAAAGTGTCGTGTTGTAAACACCACTTGATGACACCCAGACTGCCCGCTTGTCTTACACTGTCTTTGCCAAAGGTTCCTCATGCAGTGGGTGCCCGTGAGTGTTTGATGATAGGTAGATGATGATACAGAGGCAAAAGGAGCATTCAGTGAATCTACCTGTCTCTATACTTCATATTCCACTCCTACGCAGCCAACCAGAGGCTATTGAATAAAGTTCGGAGGACAATAAGACAAAGGAGAAAAGTGACAGAGGAGAAAATAATCCTACTGATGGTCTGGCTTTTTTGGGCCAATTCTATCACCTAACTTACTGTAGCTGTGGTATCTTTCAGAGACACAGAAGGTCTCCAAGACCCTACTGTCTC